TTCACAGTATAAAAATAAGTTAGTACCTCCGCCAGCTCCTACTTTCAGCTTTTGCTTCTATAAGTTTGTTTAAAGGCAGCATTCAACCCTAAAGAGGTTATCGAGCTGTTGTGGTAGGAATGTGGGGAACAGGCTCCTCTACATCCCTACCATAGTTTAAACCATCATAATTAGCTCTTACTTCTAAAAAAGGCAGTTTTATTCGGCTAACATACGAGTTCAACTCAGTGAGAATATGTTGAAACAGAACGAACTCTAAGAAACAGTTTCATTTTTCATGTTTTGACACAATTTTTTGTGTGTACGCTCGTACGTTAGCTAAAGAAGATCGCTATTTTTGGAACTCAGAGCCGTATATGGCGGTTCAAACTATGGTAAGTATGTAGAGGAGCCCGTCTTCAACATCCCTACCATAATAGCTTGATAACCTTTTTGGAGCCAGATGCTGCATTTCAACAGAAAGTGCAGAAATTGGCCCTTTTGTAATAGATTTTGGGACCTCTAGTTGAATTTTTTGAAGTAGAGTGCGTGATTTTTGTCCCATTCTCGAAATATTTCAGCTATAATCACGATAAAGCACAGATGAGCCAGTGGCGAAAGGTTCTTGAAAGTCGAAAGTGAAAATCAGTGATGAAGGGGATTTTTTGCGAGTAATAGTCCTTTAACTGTAGGATATTATTTGAATTGACTTTAGATGAAATATTTTTATAGAGATAGGCTGCATTTTTTTAAAACTTCCGTCGGGATAGTATTTTTTAATACTGAATAAGTCAGTATAGCATAAGAAGAAGTTGTATTTGGGTTTTTTTCTGCTTCGGAATAGTGGAATTTCAATTTTCTGTTTCACAAGTGGTTATAGTGAAAAAACTTCAATCACAGCTGATGTAGAATGGGAATTTTCACATAATTCATTCCAGCTAGAAGAGCAGCATTAGGGACACTATTTCACTTTCCGAAACCTCTTGTGTCTGCTTTTTACTTTCTGGGACTAGAAGAATGGAAAATCATTGTTCATTCTTGGATATATGTTAAAATTGGAACAATACAGAGGATATTAGAATGGTCCCTGCGCAAGGATGACACGCAAATTTTTGAAGCGTCCCAAATTATAGCATTCCTTCTGAAGTGTGGGCTATCATCCCTTTTATATAGGTAGTCTTGGCTCACTCTATAATTCTATCCTAACCTTTCCTCGTTATCGAGGAGAAGACAGGTTGTATAATATCCACGACAGGATAAGGGGAAGTAGCAGGCGCAAGTAAGATTATAAGCAACACCTTAATCTGGGGCTAACTAAGAGATTCTCTGATCTTACAATGCATGAGTTAAAACTATGGTTCTTCTCTTTTTTCCCTAAATTCCAAGGTGTCCAGTGTTTCCATTTTTTCCTTTCTTCCGCTATATTGTGATATGCTCCCCTAAAGTGCATTGAAGCTAAATATAAATAAATAAATAATACCTATGACTTCAACTCTCCCTTCCATCCCTCCTCCCCCACCTTTATCGTTGCAACCAACGTAGCTCAGTAAGTAAAGCCTTTTCATATACTGAAACATGAATTATGAAAATAAGGTAAAAGCGAGGTCAGCTAAGCACATTATTCTGAGGATGAAGAAACCTTTCAGCTTAAAAAGAAAGTGAAATATAAGAAAGTGTATATCACTAATGCTTACGAAGAGTTATTTTTATCTCCCTCACAAAAACTGTTCCGAAACTGGTCAGATTTGCCTAAATTTTACATACAGGGCTTTAGGAGCTCTAATTTTGTTCAGGTAACATTGATGAATCAGCTGATGAAGTCATTAGTATTCACAATCGTACATCTTCCTACAGCACATGTTTTAGTTAAAGTACGCTTTCGAAGCAGAACACCGTGCTCGTCGCCAGTTTGATGAAGCGAATGAGGTTAATAAACCAGAACCTCCTCCACGGAATCCGATAAATGGTGTAGCAGCTTCCACAGACTCCCCTACTCCTTCGGCTACATCACTGATCAGTGTTAGTTATATTCTCTGTTTATGATTTCGGTGTTAAAACTATTCCTGTTTTGCAATGAAATCCGATTAGCCCATCTTATTTCGCGTATTACAAGAGTTTCTTCTAGTTCTTTTTAAAATTTCGACACTTCTTTGATTTCTGTTAGCGACCCGCTTTGACCCCCATTGCCTTCTTGTTGAATCTACTCTTTGAAGGAACTCCTTCAACCTTGTGCCGCTCCACCAGCTCTTCCCAAACCTGCTCAGCCACCTATTCCGCCCATTAGAACAGTAAGCTTTGAAGAGTTTGAGGGACGCGGAACCGTTTTCGATGAGTTGGAATGGCAGACTATAGACGACAGGGAAGCGCTTAGCCAGGTATAGCGCTCTTTTCCTACTTTGATTCGTGCATTAACTAAATGAGGTTCCCTTGAAGATTCTGAGCAATACAAGTTTGGCACCTCGTGCGGAATCAACACCAGTGGCGAATTCTGCTCCTATTGTCCCTGATGCTGTCATGAAGCCAGTCCATTCACTGGCAAATGGTGGGAAATCAGCCACAATTTCAGCTATTCCGCCTTATCCTGATCTAGACTTTGTAAGTTTTTGTTTGTGACCCTTTTGCTTTTCTT